GAGCATATGTCTATAGGACTTTTTTTCTTAGTTTTTTACTCCTCTACACGCTCCCGAAGTTTTGCCATTTAATTTGGAAACACCCTGTATATGATATCTATACACATATTTACTAAATTATTGATATACATATGTATTGTATATATCAAGGTTCGGCGCGCGTTTCAGTTGATTTTCGATTCAGCTCGGGTGTCGAAGCGTCAAACGGCAATTTCACTTGTAGCATACGAATGAAGTTTTCCTTTACTCTATTCTCTTATAGTAAAGCCCCTAGCTTATTTCTACAAGCACAGTATTGTTCTTTCAGGTATTCTCTACGTCGCTAGCTAGTTATTTCAAACGTAAAATCTGAAATTGTTATATGCAGCACATTTTTGTATATACAGGGTGACCCATTTCAATCTATCACCCCAAATATTTCCTTTTCCTTGCATTTTACAAGAAAATATTTCAGACAAAAGTTGTATGGTTTCAAGGGGGCCATAAAATGGTACCATTAGTTTGACCTTGGATAGTCGCTTGAAGGTCACATGAAAGTCACCTTCAATTTCTTAAATTAAACTCACTATTTTTCATTACATATTCTTATAGCTTACCTCGAGAGCTTTTCAAAACACTACAATAAAATATTTTTTCACTAAGTATTTTTCGAGTTACAAGGCTCGAAAGTTACAGTACAGCCGGCATTAGCATTACGCAAGTTATCCGATCAACGGCTAAAACCTCTTGATTGTTGTCCAGGATCATGTCCTGGATAGCATTTGTCAAGATCAAGGCTATTGCAGGCTGTACCTCTTATTTTCATTTTTGCACTAAAAATTCATTTTTACGTAAAAATGAAAATAAGAGGTACAATCACAAAAATTTTATCCATTATGTTTAATCTTTTATATAATCTTTTATGTAATAATAAAATGGATATATAAATAAGGCTTTCCAAATCAATTAATGCTAAAATCGCTAATGTAATGACGATAAGCCGATGTGAGCCAGTTGTTCGTGTGTAAATCAAAGTGTATATTAAGAAAAAATTAAAAATGGGACAGAGTTTTAACATAAGAAGAAGAAGAGAAGAAGACACTCGCTTAGATAATAAACGAACTTGAAAAATGTTTAAACAATGATGTTTTTACCTTAATGTAACATTGTTAATATTACAATTTGGAACTGTTATTATAATTATTGTTATAATTATTATTACATTTTAGGATTATTGCGTAACATACATTTAGTTTATATTTAAATTTATTTACACATTATGCTTATATCGGTAGTGTTTTGTAAACACTGAGGATAGCCTGACAGAAGGTCGAAACGTATGAATTATTTAAATATATCATCTATTGGCTCGTAGCCCTTATTATTAAGTTTAAGTTTACAAAATAAAATTTCCTTCTCCGAGGTACTACACAGTTTAGCTCCATAATATAATAAAATAGACATAAACTTCGGGGAGGAGTTCAATAAGAACGTGGGCATTTACTATAATATATAAAATTTTTCAATGCTTTAAATTAAGAAGCGCCATAACGGTCAGAATGTTAAGATGTTGAACTATTGTAAATTCATTTAAATGAATTAATTTCAGAAATTATAATTGCGTGCCGATATGATTGTCGGACTTTCAACGCAATCAAATCTGAAAATATTAATAATCCCCCCAAATTTCCCAACTTAAAAACTGTAATAAACTTATTGCGAAAAATAATGCCTCGGCCGAGACAGGGCTCGGTGGTCTAAAGGCTTAGGACGCTCGCACGGAATGCAAGAGATCCGAGTTCGACTCCTGGCCGAGGCACTAACATTGGCTCATTTGGGAAATATAATATGGATAGAAATCGGATTGACTACCCGTATATTAACGGGGTACGTTTAAACAAATAGTAGGAAATTCAAACTCGAGTTGATAAAAACCCCTGCATGTAAATGTGGTATCACACCCCTTAGGATATAAACCACATTATGTGGTTATGCCAGGAAATAACCAATGAAAGGAGATCATTGGAAAGCTACCTGTTTTCAGTTAAATTACAGACACCTTTTTCCTTTAAACATATTATGGCAAATTACGATCGTGGAATTATTTTTGGAACGTCCTGAAATTCTTTTTTTATGCTCAAGAAAAATTAGCAATCTCACTTTGATATTCATTTGATAAATGAGCTCTAATGATATGCACTGCTCTCCTGTACGTAACAATAAATGGAGGTCCTAGAGAAGTATGAAGAAGATATGCACTGGACTGTTTGGCCTTTACAGCCCAGTGATCTTTGATGAAAGCATGGTACTTTGATTCCTACGTAGGAATCGGAAATCCACCGACTAGTAGAAGAAGAGTGGACCTCGCTTCGCGTGGAAAGTCATATGTCCGTCAGTATATACCAAAAATTAAACATTTTTTTAAACTTTATTTGATAATAACTTTTGAATGAACAGTGTTGAATGAACCCGCCACCTAAAACCTTTTGAAGGTCACTTAGATTCTGATAGCGCTTTTCACTGGGAGAACTGATGCGCACTGAGTGCGCACTCGCCGCAGGTAATGCGTTTCACTGGACGTTTTAATGCGCACGGAAACGGTGCACATTGTTTTTTGCAAGTTAGTGCAAGAATTCGGCACGAGCTGCGAGAGACGGTGCCAGATCAGTGCAATACAGCTACGCGGGATGCACGATTAGTATTTGAATTGCTAGATTTGCTTTCTTCATCATCTAACAGATGAAGAGGAATTATTCCTAAAAGATAATCTACGGAAAATTCCGAAGATCAAAAATTTTGTTGAGGTAGTACATGCATAACCTTACGGATAAGGAGGTAAGTACAAATAATCATACATGAACAATTTTTTACCAGGATATATTGTATAATAATATTAGTACTACAAGTAATTATGTTATTGTTACAGTTCAAAAGTCATTTTCGCGTTTCCAGAATAACAGCTTACAAAATAGTAGACATGTATGCATCCTCCTCCATAAATCCTTCCATATTATGAAAATGTAAATTACACAATATTTTATGTCATCAAATATAATGGCAAATGTATACTATAAAACTGCACTGAGGTCGACACATGTGTTTAGCTGGGAGTACAAGAAACTCGCACTTTTGGCAACCTCGTGCAGTGCTGCTGCCACTGAACGAGTTTTTGATGCGCACTCACAGGTAAACCCACGGAAATGTCACTCACCGATTTTAATGAAACTGCATATTTATAGAATTATGAAAAATATTTGACACATATTTTTTTTATCGGCAAAGGTTCGCTCTGAAGGGTGAAAACTATCCCTTAAAGGTAAGGGGTAGATTTAATATATTAGGTGAAATAAGCCATATTGAGTTGGCCATTTTGAATTTCATACTTTTGACATAAGAGTTAGTTTCAGCGACCCCAAAAACCCGCTAACCCTCTTTACTTTTTAAAATTTTTAACTTATTTCACCTAATGTATTAAATCTATCCTTTACCTTTAAGGGATAGTTTTCATTCAGAGCGAACCTTTGCCGATAAAAAAAAAATACGTGTCAAATATTTTTCATAGTTCTACAAATATGCAAAGTTTCATTAAAATAAAAGGCGAGTGTCACTTCCATAGGTTTACTTGTCAGTGCGACCTAGTGAAAAACGTTTTAAGTTTAATGTTTAATTTCTTAGAGAGTCATGACAATATATATCAAGGTTAAGGTCATCGAAGAGATGTCTTCTAATGTAAAGATTTACCTGAGTTTTCTGTAAATATATATCTCGAAAACTAAATGAAACCGCCAATTAATTCAAGAAAAAGTTGATCAGTACCCTCACTTCTATAACATATGTCAAGGTCATCAAAGAAGTGTCCCCTAATGTAAAGAAATAATGTAAATAACACACAATGTATATAATGTAAATAACACAATGTAAATAATGTATATAATGTAAATAAATCATTGTTGATAAAACTTCATTGTAACACTTTTAAATTCATTATTGTTAGAATACCATGGCGTTATAAATTTATTATTATTGTTGACTGTTGCGTGATCGTTAGGTTTTACCGTTTATTGTTAACCTTGAGAATAACTTATTTCATCTAGCTTTGGCTCGCAACCCTTATTTCTTTTTAATTATATGTTTCAAAATAGAGCCTTTCAACTCATGTACACGAAATTTCGTGCACGTGGTGTGCGAGTTGGAAGGCTGTTTTAAAAAATTGAATCTTTTCTAAAATTAATTTTACCATTATTCGTTCTCTTTCACATAATCAATTGTGCACCTTTTGTTTGAAACATTTCATTAAATGGTATAGGAAAAATATGTAGGTTGGGACATTAAAACGGATAAGTTAAAAATATAGCAGTATAAAAATATCAAAGATTTTCATTATTTATCAACATTATTATAATATGACAACGGTGTATAATTTTTTAAATATCTTCTTACAAAATTATCTTTTTATATTTGATGAATAAAAAAATTGTAAAGTCAACAGCTGTGTGTATAAAGGCTCCGAAAGTTTTTAGCAATGCATTGTTCCTTAAAAACACTGCTAGCATGAGAAACATACTCCTGAATTTAATCTTAATTACATAAGCATTACAAATTATCAACTGTTATTTTTTAGATGTTAAATGTTAAATGAAGTATATGTTAGTAAATATGATTTCTTAAGAATATACATAATTTCTTGTGATAAAAAAATAAATGTTATTTTGTAACTCACAAGGAAAGGATTCAATTTCTCAGATATCTCTTTCCCATTTTAGTAAAACTTGTTAGGAATAGTAGATTTGTAGAAGGGGTAAAAATATTCGATATAAATTTTTTTATCAGTAGTCAAACATGTTTAAGGAATGAAATCAAGGAATGAAATCTATCAATATTTTGACGAATATTTTGATTTTCGTTTAAGTTTTGAACAAAGTACAATAGCATAATTTTTTTCAGATTCCATGACGCGTTGTCCGTTAGGCTTCTGCTGCTCGCATGCATCTTTGAGAGTACCTGGTAATATGGGCGAGCATTCAAAGATCGTGATCTTTTGCACAGTCCAATTGTGGCACTTATTTATCAATATCTTTCTCAGAACATGTTTCTTTGTACAATGGTATAAACCGATTTTTGAGGGCTGATTTCATCCTTTAACATATTTAATTGTTTATAAAAATACATATTAAATTTCTATTTCCTCTAATAACTTATCAAGTTTTATTAAAATCAAAGAAAGATATCTAGTAGCCTTTCTTGTAAATGTTACACACACACGCGCGTGCACACACACACGCACGCACGCACACACACACACACACACACACAACCATACATACATCATACACATACATACATGCACAGGTATGTATAAAAAAAATGCATTTGCCTATCCATATATACTACAGATTTATCTAATATTTAACATTACATATTTTATGTTAAAATTTATTGTTTTTGTTCCTAACGTAGGAAGAAAGGTGTTGAAAAAGGTTAATTTTTTGCCGATCGAAATAAATCCTGAATTCAAGTATTTTTTTTTTTTTATAGTTTCGAGCATGTTGAATTCAGATATGTGATATTAAAAATTAGTAAAATTCTAGGGAAATACCTTTAATTCAAAGATAATCAGTAATAAACGATTTATTAAGACCTACCTAACGTTGCTGGAATATCTCAATAAGTTTCAGTAGTTTTTCAGTAAGGATGCAGACAGCAAACTTTTTTGAGAAAATACTGAGACTTATTGAGATATTCTAGCAATGTCATGTACGCAGATTGCTGACATCCTTGAATTCAAGGCATTTCCCCGGAGTTTTACGGATTTTTAACATTATATCTAAATTCAATACCCTTGAAATTATGAAAAAAAACACCCAAATTCAAGGTTTATTTCGATAAAAAATTGATCTTTTTCGATATAATTTTTTAATAGATTTTCTACAACAGGCCATTATCTAAGCTTTAAGTAATCTTAAGCCGTAAAAAATTAATCAATCATAATCGGCTTCTCATATTTGACTGTCATTGATGATCGATTTCTTACGGCTTATAATTTAAAGCTTAGGTAATGGCTCATTATACAGGGTGTCCCGCAAAATTTCTCCCATCACTCACAGGAAGATAGATAGAATCGAGATGAACACAAAAGTCTCATACCGTTTAGAGATATTCGCAATAATAATTGAGATATTAATTTTTATATTTATACTAATGAAAGCACGCCGAGAGAAACGCTCCGGCCGCTCGAGGTATAGCCAGGCTCAATTTATCAAGTATTGACTGCCGGCAGCGCATTGGACAGACAAGAAGAGAAGCGCGCGCGCGCCGTTGTTCGGCGCGGTGTGGCGAGATGTGTGAGCGGCGATACCGAGCGCTGAGCAACAGCGCGCTTCCAGTAGTAACTAGTATTATTATTAAATTGTCCGATTTAATAACAAAAAAAACGAGATTTCTCACAGAGATGCTGATGATTCGAGCAATAGACACACAAGGAAAAACTTATAAAATCTGAAAAAGTTTAAGATATTTTTCCAGCAACCTTCATAATATGACAAATTCTTAAAAATATTACGAAAATTTTTTCACCAAGGAAAATATGATAATTATTAATATTTTTATAATTAATTTCATCTCAATTCTCTAACGTAAAATAAAGTTTTATGATTAATATTAATGATAATGTTATTTTACAATAAATCGGAAATGAAGGTCAAGCTGAATTTTTAATAAATAATTAAATAATTCTGAGAGTGTATTTATATATTATAATACAAATCTCTAATCCTGTAAACTGCGAGCCGAATTTAATTTTCAGTTTTGAAACGCAATCCTAACAGAACTAAAGCAGTAATATCACAAATCAAATTGCCATAGTTCGATTCCTGAACGAGGTAATATTTTTCGCAATAAAATTATTTACCTGGCTATTTACGTCTAACGGCCGGAGCGTTTCTTTCGACGTATTGTCTTTCATTAGTACAGTTACAAATATTAATATCGCGATTATTATTGCGAAAATCGTTAATGGTATGGGACTTTTGTGTTCATCTCGATCCCATCTATCTTCCTGCGAGTGATGAGAGAAGTCTCGCGGAACACTCTGTAGAAAACTTCTAATATTTAATATGAAGAAAGAAACCTTATTACCTCTTTTAATGTGGCGTTATAATTCAATTATTTCTTCAGACTGACATTGGATTCATCACAATTGAACTGCATTCAATCAAGATATAAAGAATCAGGTAAGAATGGTATAAATGGAAGATCGCATTTATCACGAGACAACGCCAAATTTACTGCCGAACGGATATCTTCCTCGATTTGAGCCATTCCTAATTGTATCAAACTGTCTCCAATATTAATGTTCTGTGACAATAAAAAGAATTCATAAAATTTGTAAACAAATAGGTATACACGGTGTCCCGAATTTAAATAGACAAATTTCGAGAACATGTAGAGGATTCATAAACTAACAATGAGGAAAAAAGTCCTTTAGAAATGTGCTCGTTTTTGCTTTGTTTTGGAGAAAATCGAGGTGGACTTCCGAAAACCCGAAAGCTCCGATTTTCTTGTCGATTGGTATGCAACTGTATTTTGGTGCGCTGATTACGAATATATGATCATGAAAATTGCCGACAGGAATTAGTTTATCCGCATTATCGCGCTGAAGTATACGAAAAACAATAATATTCCGCTTTGAAAACAATAATATTCCAAAAATTACGTTTTGTCTCTTTTGGCGATTTTCTTCAAAACGAAGTAATAACGAGCAGATCTCTAAGACTTTTTTTCTTATAGCGAACTCGGTTAGACGCATGGTGTAATAAAGAAGAGGTGTGCTGTTGCACAAGAAGATGATTAACTAATGAGGATGATGGAACAAGTGACCGGCCATATTAATATATCAGCCAATCAGCGTTTTTTCTGACATACTCAAAATGTGGTATAATTTAAATAAGGAATGACAATTAATGACTTTATTTTGTCGAGCACTCCTATTGTGACTTTTTATTATTAATTATTATTAATAATAATTTAATAATAATTATTATAAATCCCTTAAATTTTTAAATATTAATAATATTTAATTTATATATCTACTACTTTTGAGGTTAATCTTCTTGCCACAAAAGCTTTCATCCACTTTGCCGCAATGTCACTATCTTTTGGAAACGAAAAAAACTTTATTTTTTTACTTTCGCATTTTCACTGCAATTTTTACACCCCTTAACGTTGCATTCCACCATTTTTTTACAAAAACATATTATAAGTGATACGTCAGTTTCTTTGTTTTCTTTGCTATGATTTTCCAATATGGAAGGCGACTTGTTCCAATGCCATACCAAATATGCGCAGAACGCGTCAAAATTTGGTGTTCTTATATTATGACGGTTTTGAGGTTAATGTGTTATCTTAATTATAACAATTATCATTAAGATAAATATATTATTTATTGAATATCTTCAGGAAAGTATAATGGAAATAATAAATAATTGTTATAATGATTGAATAGTTAGCATTAAATATCTGTAAATTAAATTAAGAAAAATAGCTATTAAATCCCCAAAGGCACTTAAGGAGGTCCACCTGTTAGTCGATTTTTTATTATTAATTTTAAAGCCATTAACCTCAAAGCCGTCATAATATAAGATTATTATAAAGTCTGAATAAAGTCGCACATTTATAATGTAATATTTTGCAAAAATCTAAACACCTCACAAAACCAAAAATATTTTGTTTATATAGGCTGTGTTCCAAAATTGATTGCCAGTGCTGCGTGTATGTCGTCACAAGTGCATGCTACCAATAGCGTTCCAATTTTAGTAAGCATGCTTTTCATGCAAACGCAGCTTTCATTTTGGAACGATATTTTGAGTGCTGTTAACGTATAGCGACTTCAGCGAAAAGAAACAAATAACCTAGAAGTATGGAGAGAACCATACAGAAAAAATTTTTATTTGAAACCATTATAAAATTAGCATTCGATTTTAGTGATGAAGAGTCTAGTGATTCGGATTCAGAATTAGCCGAAATTATATATAATTATTCGAAGTATGAATAAATAAATGTGACCACAAAAAGCTGACTACAAAAAAATTATAAATCTATTCACTACTTTTTGCTTTTTCAGCATCTTCTACCGAAATATTTATTTTAAATTCAGTATTACTCTCGGCATCAATTAAAATTAACTCCATCTTTTCCGCCATCTTTGTGCTGTAACTGCCTCACCTCTTCAGCCGCAGCAGGAAATGACGACAAAATTAGTGACGTCTTTACTCTCTCGCAGCACTGCCACAGCGTGCTACGATGATTTTTGGAACGGTGTTAACAGTGCTGCCAGCGCTAGCAAACAATTTTGGAACACAGCCATTATATACAGCAAAGACATTGAGAACCTAGAGTTCAAGATTTATGAAATGTAAAAATCTTATCCCTTTCGTCTCACCTTATCGTTATCTTTGTCATACAGATTGATACAAGGAATCAATGAATTTTCACGGCGAGATCCTCCATAACCGATCGGACGTTCTTTATAGCCTTTAACTTGAGCAATGAGCGGTTTCCATTTCGCTAAATGAGTAAGTTCGGCGAACTTGTCATTAGCTTTGGAGCTCCATTCGCTTTCTCTGAAAATAATGTTTCGTTGAAGAATAATTGACACCTGTAAAATCTATTGATTAGCGAGATGTTAATTTACCGTGGCTTTACGTTTGCCAATGAACACTCCACAGCCTGCAGGCGTAAGCTTAACATATCTGTACGAAGTTCTAATATATCATCTACAGGGACGATTTCCAAATCTCCATAATCCACAAAGAAGATTTTATATGCAGAAGAGTTCACAATGGATATTACTTCTGCACGATACCACTTGTTGTCATATTTAAATTTTGCTGCTACCATTTGGCCTATTGTTATCTAGAACCAACATACAAACGGTTACAGATATAATTAATTAGTACCAACAATAAGTTACAGATATAATTAAACTAGTATTATTATGATCGATATGTGAATAGTACAAATAAATGAGAAGAGTCAAAACTAAAGAATTAGATTGAAAATGTATAAACAATATTTATGGACTCCTTAAAATTAATATAATTTATATAATAATAATAATAATACAATATACATTAAGCAGGGCTTTAAAAGTCGGCGCCGGAAATATAATTTGCGCTTTTTTGATTAATATAATTATATAAACCTAAACGTTTCAGCTTACATTTGAGCCATCTCTAGCAGAATTTCCTTAATACAAGTTCTTTGATAATCAGTTAGGCTAATGTAGATCTCCATCAATCCGCATGTGTCGTTATTGTCCATCACAGAATTATCTTATGATTTATATCGTGTGCGTTGTATTTCTTGCAATAGATATCGGAGATGTTAGATATAAATCGCCAATCAAACAGATTAAAAAGGAAAACGGATATGGAAAACTCATGAGTACATACTCAACAAAATATAAATAACATGTAGTTGTTTTTTAATTTGACTAAAATGATCTTTCTTCATTACCGGCTCGCGATTACCATTTCAATATATGATTGTACGTTTAATGGACATGACACACATCGAATTTTAATTATTATGATTTTAATAATATGACCATTGAACTAAATATCTTACCTACTTAAATTTATTATATAAACATGACAATATTGTTGCGATTGATACTGCTGTGAGGTGAATGAGATAATCTATATGATATTTAATTTCAATTATTCTTCTGATTGGTTGCTATATAATAAAAATTTTCGATTAAGATTTTTCCAACACCACAAAACCATGCAACTGAATTGGACATTTATGAATATTGAGGAGGACTTCGCAGCAATATCTATTGCAAAAAATATAACGCACACGACATAAATCATAAGATAATTCTGCGGTAAATAATGACACATATGCAGATTGATGGAGATCCACATTAGCCTGATTATCAAAGAAATTGTATTAAGGAATTTCTGCTGAGGATGGCTCAAATGTGAACTGAAACGGTCAGGTTTATATAATTGTATTACAACACTAATCACGAAACGCAAATTATATTTCTGTCGCCTACTCCTAAAGCCCTGTTTAATATGTATATTGTATTATTATTGTTGTTATTGTTGTTATTATTATTATTATTATAGAAGAGTCAAATTCGATCAAAGTGGATCTTATTGTTAATGTCTAATGTTTCTGCTCAATTTTTTTATGCATTTTTCATATAAATTGTGCGCCGATTGATTGACCATGAAACGCAATCCTAAACTGAATTTCTTATGTAAAAACTAATCTTTTTAAATGTTTTAATTTCAAAATTAAAGAGTTTACAAAAAAGTGGAAAAGTTTTTATTTCTAATGTTCTTGATTCACATAAATTTTTTCAAAATTTTTCAAACTTTTTTAAACTTAACTTTTTGAGATACCAAAAAATCACAAGCGTTTCCAGTAAATGATATTGTGTGCATGTGCATGCATACGTGCATACAATTAAATTATTAATATATTCATAGATATCATATAGAAAATTAGTTATCAAAATCTGCTTTGAACGAATTTGCTATTTTTGCATATTTATATTTACATATCAGTTGATTCACCTATATCATTTATAAAAATATGAAGTCTGTTTTTTTATTCCTATACTCTATGTTTGTTTCAATTCAACTTATTGTACTGTGTACACCAATTCAGAGATTGCAGGAATAAAAAACAGTTCTATAATATTGTATAATTATATTGTGTACAATTCTCATTTCTTGTTTATATTTATCTTGTTTTTAAATATCTCGTTATAGCAATAAAGTTAAATGAGTTACGTTTCTGTTTACTTTTTTCAAGATATGAAGTTGGCAATTTTCCTTTTTATTGTAATACTTCGTCATATTATGTACTAAGTGTTGTAAATGGATATTTGTAGAACCAACTACTTGAATCCAAAACAAACTTGGCGTTTCCATTGCAGATACATATACTTCCATTAAACCATCTATTAAAATCAAAATTTAATTGTAGTACAATATATAAAAATCTATATATTAATGGATATTTTAATGGAACATAAATTTATAAAATTTATGAAATCAAATGTTTCACAAATATCTTGTTCTAATGCAGTTTTTAAAACATTATTAAATGTACTAATACCATTGTTACATGGAGAATCAGATATTCTTTTCATGGTCATTGTAGATTCATAATTCCATTCATTACGAGATTCAACTGCCTCTTTAATTTTATCTTTTATCTGCTTAGTGGCTAGTTCTATTTGTTTACTAGTTCCAATTATTGTTACATTTCTTTGATCATCTATAAAAAAAATGTCACAATTATTGCATTAATTGTTATTACAGACTCCAACAGAATACAGAGATTAATTCAAAAATAAATGTATCCGATTTGCAAAGCCATTAAAACAAATCTTGATACTTGATAATCAAGCTTATCCATCTGAATTTCATTTATATTATGAATTAATTGTACATCATAATACAGTTAATAATAAAATATAAATAAAATATAATCTTATCAATTCAGACAAATCATGAAAGAAATGTTAAAAAATAATATGTACTTTCAAATCTATTAGCAACATTTTCAAGCATGATTTTTGCACCAGACAATCTTTCCATTTCTTGCACTGTGTACCCATTTCTTCCTATAATCCTTCCACAAGCTTCATGTGGCACTAATAATCTACAAGTTTCAATATCAGAATGATCCTCTGTTGTATTTTTAATATCAGTGTTAACACGGGATAGTTCAGATATAGATATTCTTGCAGTCGCAACTTGCATTCTTAGTTGAACTTCAGCTTCAATTTTATCTTGAACTTTGTCTTCTATTTGAATAATGGCTGCCGCTATTTGATCAGCAGTTCCCTTTAGTATTATCCTTCTTTTGAGTCCAGCTATAAAAATTTAGTAATAACACGACATTATTGTAATTTTGTAATAACATAACAATATTATTGTAATAACATGACAATATTACAAATTCAATATCAATGTTGGGAACGTACTTTCAGTTTTATGAGGATCACTCTCAAGTATAATTTTTGTACCATGAGTTTTCTGAATTTCTTGCGCAAATCCAATATCATTCCAATTTTGTCTAAAAATTCTTCTAGAAACTTCAAAAGGGACAAACAATTCAAAGGTCTCAATGACAGGTAGATTGTTTATTATAGATTGTATCATACTCTGTGCTGAATAAATGTTTTCTGTGTTATCGGACCAAATATAACAGATACGATCTGGACAATATAAATTTGCTTTTTCCATCTTAATGAGCGTGTTGGTTAACTCTTCTATATTTCTTATTACAGCACCACCTTTACCAATAACAGCAGATACATACTTCTCAGGAATTTTAAATTCCATGCAAATTTCTTTGCGTTTGGATGTTGTCCGACCATATTTCTTTCTATCATCATCATCCTACAATATAATAAGCTTGTATTTTCAAAACAAATTTCATTGAATTTCACAGATAGGTTAGTAATAGACAACACAGCATAAAGAAATTTTATGTCAAGAAAGCAAACCTTACTTTTTCAATCATAGTGTACAGCAAAACTGCCATTGATAATCCAAAAGTTGTTAAGGATATACCGAGTAAAATCGGTAACACCGATTGCCTGTTCATAGTTGATAATGATAACAATCTCATTTTTCTATAAATTTAAGCCAAGAAAATATATTGCATAACTTTGCAACTACAATAGAAAATCATTGAAAACATTTTTATAATTATTAATTTATCATTAATTTATATAACTTATATTTGTTTACACTTACCCATTTACCTAATATATTAAGGTGCCATTACATGCAAGCGTCGAGCATCTGCGCAGAAATTTGAATCTTCCATATATGTAATACTACTATGGCTGCAGTCCACTCGACGCTACAAATGCTTCGAAGCGCTTGAGCGACCAATCAAAACAAAGAATTTTACGAATTAACTAATCAAAGAATGGGTGAGTTCAAGATGGCAAAGCGGCTAGGCATGCTTACCGAGCGATTGAATATGATTGGTTGGATCTATAAGTAACAATCAATTATGTTCATTTGTTTGGCGAGCAGGCTAGCCGCTTTGTCAACTTGAACGCGCCCA